TGCTATTTTTCGCTGAGTGTTCCCGGTCGTGCCGACCCATTCACATTCATAATATATTATATACAACCAAAACGGCACTACATATTATAATTGTAATCTTGTCCTGTCCAAAGATATAACAAGATAAGTTGAATAAGAAATTTAAACGATAGGTTTTGTTTTTTGTATCACATGGGTATCAAAAGTAACTCTTAACACTTAAATGAAATTCAATGACTCATTTATTTTTATTCCGATCGATCATCGTATTTAGGAAAATACAGATAAAAACGAAACTTATAAATTATAACATAAAAATTAGAATATAAATATGTTTTTATAGTAACTAAATTAATCAATTGTTTATTTAACCGATTTTAATAATAGCAATTACAGAAGTCTTTTATATATATCAAACAAAAATTTGTGAAATATGTTGACTGCGCGATGTTAGTTTCATTATTCTGCCTAAAGCCACTAAGCAACTAAGCATAGGTAACATCACTGTTACCCTGTATCAAATCGTATTGGATTTGAATATCTGATATTGAATCTGTATATTTCAATATGCTGTAGAGACTCGGTCCGTGGGGTCCACGTGCGGTGAAGTTCCTAAAGGAACTCCACCCGCGGCTGGTCGTTGTTGTTGGTGATAAGAGGGCTGGTTCTTTTCTCGCTCAAAGACAAAGTATAGCCATTCAGCGGGGAAATGCAGCCAGCGTTCTTGGGACGATACCGCGGGGAGTAGGACTATATAATAATTAAGTCTCTAGTTTTAGTTTTCTTTTTTATATTATTATTTCAATATCTAATATCGTAATATCGTACAGTATTCAGTACTACAGGCTGACACGCGATTTTCGATCGGTTTGGTTTGCTTAAGCCGCGTCTCCACCAAAGTGTTGTTGCGAACACAACAGTTTGAAACAAAACTTGAAACACTGTCGGGAACCGTGTCAATGTTAATACGTATTGGTTAGCATCTATGATATTTTGAAACGAGTATAATATCCTACAACGAAGGATCTATGTAGGTATATCTGTTTTGCTCAAATCATATAATATCTCGTATTCTTAAGCGCGCTCATGATTTTTTCTAATAATTGTATAATATTATACCAGATATTACCACGTTTCAAGTTTTTATTAAGTCACTTGTTTGTTTGTCTGTCGTTCCGGGTGGAATCTTGCAAATCAAATGGGCAATGTCAAAATCATGATGAGCTAGACTTGAATTTTTGAAAATAGCTCAGAATCGAATGATAATGTAGGAATATGAAAAACTGTGGTAACTATATTAACATTATTTCGTACATAAAAAAACACTTGTTACTTTACGTTATTATTATTTTTTCGAGTTCTATGTTAGACGTAATTTATAGTGACGCTGTACTACATCGGTATCTAATATATCGATATTGTATGTGTGTGATACGATTTGAATCGCCCACTACTAAAAGCGCAAGTGTTAAAATATGTATACAGGAACATGCTACTATTGTTTACCCGGAATTTTATTTTCTAGTCACGCCTGAACATAATTTAAATGTATACCATGACGAAAGGATGATCAGTGGGAAATATAAAGCATTATGTGATAAGGGAAAAGTTATTAAGGAGACTGATAGAGTATGAAACCTATCCGCAGACTGCAGAGTCGTGTAAGACAAGGCATTGGAAAACGTTTTCAAACTACTGGAATGGAAAGGATACCGTATAACATCAATGGCGCTTACATCACTCACCTTCGATTTGCAAAAGTATATAGTCAGTCTCGCATAAATCACTGGAGGCTATAGGAACTTTCGGGAGATTACGACACATCATCTTCTCGTCACCTACACCACAAAACTTGAAAACAAGAGTGTAACCAGAGCCCGTTGCCAGTGATGAAGATATGGATCTGAAATGTGATCCTTCACTGCTAGCCGTAAGAGGAAGTTCAAGGTCACTTAGCGAGCTATGGAGAGGGCTGTGTTCGGAGTTTTTCTGCATGGTTTAATTTGGCATGAGGATATCCACAATAGAACCAGAATAACCAAGTAACTAACTGAAGTGACAATAGGCTGACCATCACTAAATGGAGTGACAACCTGGTAAGAAATGCAGGAAGTTAATGGTTGCCTAGGCCCATGCTTTGTGACCGTCCTTGGGAAGAATGCCTATGTTCACCAGTAGACTTGTGAAGGACTGTAATGATGAAGATGAAGGAGACTCCAGGCATGTCCTCCTCTAATTTCTTAGTGTTTTCAGGCAAACAAGAGTCTACAGTGCTTCCCAATGTTGGCAATGTTGGCAATGCATGTTGGCGGAGTTCATATGTCCATAAAATGTTTTAATTTATCAGCCATGCAGGTTTTTTGTGTTGACTTCATCATTAATGTGCTTAATGAGCGTTAAATCAATGCTTAAAATTGCAATTAAAAATTACAGTACTGCTGTAACAGAATAATATTGTAAAATTTATATTGCAAAATTATTTAGTTGCAAAACATAATTGCAAACAAGAAAAACCAAAAATATTGTATGATATATGTAATGAATAATAAATGTATATATATATATATATATGTAGTATGTACATGCCATGTATGTGTATAAGTTATACTGAATTGCTTACAATGAATTATCCTTCATTAATGAAGCCTTTTTTTTTTAAATGAACACATTTTCATATTCTCTTAAAATGGAAAAGAGCATAATTATCGAAATCAATGATTAGAGACATAGTGAATTAATAAATAAATTCAAATGCATGTCAAGATTGCTTGCTTACCCACTTAAACATTCTACAATGTATAAAAAGTGTATTGTATATAAAATGCTATGGTTAATAAGACTATTTATAAATATAGGAAAATTCACAAAACTATTAAATGTTAGTGTTGGAAATTAAGAATAAAAAATTATAATGTTTCTACCTCACTGTTAAGTAGGGTTATGCTTTTTGGATATACATGTATGGCTTTTTTTGTTTGATGGCTAGGTAGCATAGTGGCTAAGCATTTGGTTGTGGTGCTCCAGGGTCACAGGTTCAAATATCGCACTGAAAAAGCCTACAAATAACTATTCCAGGTTTGAATGTGTGACATTGTACAGTTTATGTATATAATACATAACATGTATTTATGTATATAATACTTACGTGGTAGAGTCATGCTGCAACTATATTACTGGTATAGTTGTAGTGCGAATGGGACGGCTCGTCTGGGGAAGGTCCACACTCTCACAGAATACCAGAGTAAAATAGCAGCTTAATGCTGTTGTGTTATGTATGGCGAGTGTAGAGAACCGGTGAGCCTTTTTACTGGAAACTAGGCAATAAATCTTAGTCCTCACGGGTGACAACAAATCTGCATTTTGATATGTAATCAAGGATAGATGTAGATGTCTATGGACCACAGCAACCACTTACCATCAGGTGGACTGTACGATCGTTTGTCACTCACCCTTATCCTATAAAATATATATATATAAGCTGCCTCCACAATACAGGAGAAAATCCAACTGTGAGGGTCAAGTTTTGAAGAAACTACATTTTAAAAATGTATATATATATATATATATATATATATATATATATATATATATATATATATATATATATATATAGATTTCTATGTATTATGTAGGTTTAAAAGGCATCATTTAAATTATTTTCCTCCTCATTGTCATAAGCTATAGTCGTAAATAAAAAGACTGCAATGATATTCTTGGTTAATTACTTTTTTATTGTTTCTAACAAAATATTATCTCCCAGGTTAGTTTATAATAATTTTGCTAATAGTTTTTATTAGCACATGAATTTCATCATGTAAAACGCTAAAGATGGATTACATTTTTATTTCTAATTATTTATATAAATCTGTAAAAAATTACATTATTGGGAGAAGACTTTTAAAAGCTAAAAAAGAAGAAAATCTTCATACAAAGCTTTTTATAAAAATCTTTTTAAATGAGAAGCATAAACAAAAAACATCTGTTCATCATCAAAATTTTTAAGATAGCGCCAACTGAAATGCATTTCTCGAAAAAAAATTCCATACACAAAATTGGGCAGTTTGTTAGTTTAACTAGAACAAAATGTGAGTTTTATGCATAAAAAGTTCTTGTCATGACTATACTTTATATTCTATCATTTTAACAGGTATGTATTGAAAGCAAGAGTGAGGACCTGATTGAAGAAGCAGGAAGTTGATTGATGCAGGTATTTCAGTACCATACTTCTTGGAAATCTTTAGGGAAGGCCTATGGTATATAGTGGACTTGTGGACTTGTGATGGGATGTAATGATAACAAGAAAAAAACACATTTTCGATTACAAGAAAAAAGATTAATCAGTCATAAATTTGACTTTTTTAATTTCATATGTGCAGGACAAATGTGAGAGATAATAGCTAGAATACTTTCTTAACATATTATTCTGTTCAACTTCCTGAATTGGCATATTGATATTTATAATATGTTGTACTGTGAAGATATTATCAACAATTTTTAATAATTCTTTTTTATTAAATATGCTATACACTTCAAATGGATTCTATATACATTTACAAAAAAAAATAGGGCAAAGAAGTTTTAATGTAACTATTTAGACAAAACTATTAATTGTTTCTTTGAGTTTGTGATATTGCTTAGTCCACTAAAAAGAATCAAATAAGTCATTAAACTTATAAAAGTTAGGTAAAACCAAACAAAAAAAAAATTTTCACTTAGTTCAATAGCTTCTGTAGTCAGTGCTTTAACTATTCAATACACCCAGTAAGCATTGCCTTTCAAAGCTAATAAATTATATAGAAATGATTTTATTATTTTTCGTTTTTTGAACTTGGTTTTAAGTCTTTTACAAATTTATTATTTTAAGAGTTGGTCTATTATGCCTTTTTCAAGAAAAATGTTAGGAATATTTTTACGTAAGTAAATAGAAGAAATAAGATAGGAATATATATGTTACATTTATGATATATAGGTATTTGAATTAAATTACTTTTATGATATAACTAAATATAAAAGTTGCTTACCTAGGTCGATTCTGCATGTAGTACTGTCCTCCAAATATAAAAGCCATATAAATTCCGACATAGTAGAATGCCACAGTCCAATTCTCTGTCATCCATTTCCTATAATTTTGGTGAATGAACTCGTTTTCGAATTCAAAAATGTAGGAATAATTAGGCGTGATGTCTAAGTTATAATTCATGGAAGTCTCCATAATTGGATATATTTGTTCAAAATGTACACTGGTAAATGAGCACAGTCCACTGTAAGTTTCTGTTGGGACGTTACACTGATATCACCGGTATATAGGATTAACCTAAAAATGTTTTAATAGGTTACTAAGTGTATCGTTATATCACAGATGACTAAAATGGCAATATTTTAAAGGAGAGAGGCGACGTGCCGCCTTACGAGCGCTAATTCCAATTTGACCATAGATGTCTTGACTTGACTAAATAATATTGGTGATGACGAGTTGACAGGCGTCGGCCAAGCGCGAATCTATTTAACTCGTCACTCGTCACAACGCCGACGAAACGATGAATGAACTCCAATCTCAACTCAACTCAACGTTCAACGTTTTATCACACAGCACAGACACTACGCTACGATCACGCCACTTATGATTTTTTTTTTTGAGTTTATGGCCTGGCATCTAGACCTTTAGGCCAAGTCTTGAGTATTTTTATTCGGTTTATTATAATTTCCCCACTGTATTTTTGATGAATTTATATAGAGGCACGTAATAGGATCTATTTTTTAACATATCACTCAGGCGGCGGGAGGGATCTTGCACTGTCACTTGATTTTGCACTATGTCACTAATTTCACTGACAAGAATCAATCTGTCAAATGAAAAGCACTCACATGTAAATATGAAATGTTCGATATCACCAACAGAATTATTGCAGAAGGTGCAGTAACTGCTCTCCACTATGCCCAATCGAGCCAGGTGGGCCGGGACGGTGGAGTGACCAAAGCGCAGTCTATTTATAGTGGTAACAAAGTCCCGACTGGCCATTTTCAGTTTGTTATACCATGGTGCTACAGGTAGTTTTTCTTGAACAGTTCCATACCATTTACCCTTCTGTTCTTGATCTTGTTTCCAAAATTCGACCCATAAGCTATTGACCTGGTTGTCAATAGATTGATAACAGTCGGTCAAAGGTACTTTTACTATGGAGCTAACATCCAACATGTTGGTTCCATCACGTGCAATTTTATCTACTATCTCATTTCCTGTTATGCCCCTATGTGATGGAATCCACATGAAAGAGACCTGTATACCCTTTTTTGCATAACTAAATAACAATTTTTTAATATTATACAAAATATAGTTTTTTTTAAAGTCAAATCTGAGATTAGTTAAACTTTGGACCATACTTAAACTGTCTGTTAAAATTAAAAAATTATTAAAACTATTTATATGTGCAATCCTCTTCAGGGCCTCGAGGGCCGCATATACCTCTGCAGTGAAAACACTGCATTTAGGGTCCAGAAGAAAACTTTGACCAAACTTGCATTGTGGATCATAAACGGCACTGCGCACAAAGAGCTCACTTTTGCTACCATCTGTATACAAAGTATAGTAGTTATTGTCGGAAATAAAACTTAATAATTCACAATTATTAAAAAAATTTTTGGTAACAATATTGGTCTCAAATATAATACAGGAATATGGGTATGTGTAGCATGTCCACTTTGATTGTTTAATTACATTTTTAAAATCTTCATTCATTTGCTGTACAATGAGAGGCAAAACTGGAAAATAACCTTGTAAAAGCTCACCTCCCGAAGTCTGCTGGACCGAGCATTGTAAAGGAAAAGGTACTATTTTTTTGAGAACATTATCATTACCAGATACCAGCTTTAGTAAATATCTCTCTATTAGCAGAAGTCTTCTAAGACACAGTGGCATTATTTTGGTTTCAACTTCCATAGCTCGTATGGGAGTTGAACACATAGCCCCAGAAATAATTCGCAGAGCTTTGTTTTGAATTATGTCTAGTTTTTTTACACAACTACTATTTGAGTAGGCTAAACAACTGTAGTCGAAATGGCTTCTGACTATAGATTTATATAGCATACTTAAAACTTTGGGGTCTGCACCCCAAGTCACACCAGCTAAACATCTTATAATATTTAAGCCCTTAAGAGAGTTAGTTATAATGTGATTGATGTGTAAATTAAAACAAAGTTTGTTATCAATGACAACACCCAGGAATTTATGGTTAGATACAACTGAAATTGGATGATTATTGTAGAGTATGCCATTAGAGGGAAAATCTTTACTAAAAATCATGGCCTTGCTTTTGTTAGGGTTAATCTGTAGAGCCAACTTGTCATTATAATATATGTACAATTGCTCTAAAGCATTATTTATACTATTTACAGCTCTATCTACATTATGGTCTGTACAATATATTACAAGATCATCCGCAAATTGTAAAATATTTACACCTTCTATATTTACAAAATTAAGAATTTGACTAGTGTATATGTTGTACAACAATGGAGATAATGTAGCCCCCTGCATTGTACCTTTGGAGACCCTTCTGGGACCATGGAGAATATTATTATGCCTTATATACAAAGTTCTATCTATTAAAAAATTAAATAACCATTGGCAAAGTATGCCTGGTATACCAATGTCAGAAAGAACTTGAACCAAAATGCCAGGATCTACATTATCAAACGCACCTTCAATATCCAGAAAAACACAAACACTGGACTTATTATTATTATTGGCATATTTCAGATCTGACAAGAGAGAGATGAAGCTGTCAGCACAACTTCTGCCTCTCCGGAAGCCATATTGAACATGTGGAATGATGTTGTTCGCCTCTACATAACACTCAAGACGCATCTTTAACATGTTTTCATTAAGCTTTCCAACACAAGATGACAAAGATATAGGACGATATGAATTAGGATCTTCAGGTGGCTTGTCAGGTTTAAGTAGAGGGATTACACACTGTGTTTTCCAAGATTCAGGAATTTTTTTTAAGTGCCAAAGAGCATTAAGATTAGCTAATAGTTTCTTTTGTACGGACCGATTTAGGTTTTTGATCAAAATGTATGGACAATTATCTAAACCAGGGGTTGTGTTTCGTCTGGATTGTAAACTTGTACAAAACTCACTCCAAGTAAAGGGTTCTATGAGGAAACTGGACTTCTGAAGACTATTATTAATTTCAAAATAACTTTCTAGATTATCAATAACCCTACATCCATTTCGAGATAATTTGTCTAAAAGAGGGACTACAAATTCGTCTTTATATGTTCTATTATTGCATTTTATTCGTTTAAATAACTTAATGTATTTCCAAATAATACTAACAGGTGTAGTTCTGTTAAAAGTATTACAAATGTTAGCCCAACCATTGCGTTTATGTTCTGAAATAGTCTTTTTCTTAACAGCATTAAGTCTTTTGTAATTAATGTAATTATCAATGGTTGGATCTCTTCTGTACAGTTTTAAAGCTTCATAAGTTTTAATAACACTCTGTTCACATGTGTCACTCCACCAAGGTGCTGGAGGTTTGCAACGATAGTTGTTTGCTTTGACAAACTTTGGCACAGTATCTCTCCTAAGTGTATCAAGCCTTTCAATAAATTCATCATATGACTGTAATGGATTCTCATTATTAACTTCAAAATTAGAAAAAGCAGTTATAGACAGCTCATTGTATTTTGTCCAGTCTGTCTTGTTGTATAGGAATTTTTCAATGGGAGGATTAATTTGGTATCTATCAACTGACAATGAAACACGAGTAAGCGTAGGAAAATGATAGCTCCCCATACAATCATCATGCACCCACCATTCGCATAGTGGAGTGATTGAAGCACTACAAAAGCTGACATCAATAGCCGATGGATTTCGGTTAGGATAATTAATAGTAGTGAAGCTACCATTGTTGAGGACACATAGATCAAATTCATCAATTAAATCGTATAACTGATGACCCCGACTTTTCGTGGTCATACACCCAAATGCCACATGGTGAGCGTTGAAATCTCCAGCCACATATATTGGCTTAGGCAAATCTCTAATTATATCACGCAGTTTACTTATTCTGAAGTTACCATTCGATGGAGGGCAGTATACACATAAAATCGTTAATTGTTTACCACTTACATATAACAATAATGCCACAGTCTGAATGTCTTGGTAAAATCTGGTTTGAATAATATTATATTTAAAATACGGTTTGATCAAAATTGCTACTCCACCATGCTCATTTTGGGCATTATGATAGTGGAAATTATATCCCGAAATGTTAAAATGCTGAGTATCTTTCAGCCAAGTTTCATTGAGTAGACAGATATCAACATTTTGCTCATCTAAAAATTTAGACAATAAGGATTTTTTCCTATGTATACTTTGAATATTATACTGAGCTATACATAACTGATGTATGTTCTGTACTGTACTGTCCATTATTGTGACAGATTTTTTAAAAGTAAGTCTTTAATGAACAGTGTAGTCACAGGTTCATTATCTGTTTTATTACCTAATTCGACTAAAGTTTGGACCATTGCCATCAAAATATTCTTATTGTTTGCAATTTGAGCCTTAAGTTGAGTTTGGTTCAAGTTGGGTTCAGGCACTGTTTTATTTACATTATTTACAATTTTTACATTTTTATTTAATTTATGTACATTTTGGTTTATTGATGGTAGGGTCTTAACAATGCTGCTCGACTGTGCAGGTAAAGACGGAAAATCAGATGACTTAATTGTATTAGCTACAGAGGCATAAGTAATTTTACCCTTTTTTTCAAGTATTTTTTTCATTTTTATTGGGCAAGATTTGGAAATGGCCAGGTGGGGACCACTGCAATTGACACAACACAGGTTTTCTTTTTTATCACAGTCTCTGAAATTATGTTCCCCAGCACATATCGAGCAACGTTGTTTACCATTACAAATTTTCGCAGGGTGGTTGAACTTGAAGCACCGGAAGCATTGTTGTAACGGTGGGACATATTCAAACACCCTGAACGAAAATAGGTCATATTGGATGTTGTCGGGCAGAACATTTGATAGGAAAGTTATACTGACCGTCTCGAGACCTACAGTACTTTGACCGACTTTTTTCGTGAATCTTCTCACTGAAATAATTTCATAAATCGAAGACAGTTTCGTATATAATTCCTTGTTCGAAATGTTGGTAGGCACATATCGGATGATTCCAGTTTTTTCTATCTGCGC